GTGTGTGTGAGAGTGTGTGTGTGAGAGTGTGTGTGTGAGAGTGTGTGTGAGTGTGTATGAGTGACTGGGCGTGCGTGTGCGTGTGTGCGTGTGCGTGTGTGCGTGTGAGCGTGTGCGTGTGAGCGTGTGCGCGTCCGTGGGTGTGGGTGAAAGTGAGAGTGTGGGTGTGAGTGAGTGTGAGAGCGAGAGTGCGGGTGTGAGTGTGACTGTGTGAGTGTGAGTGTGAGAGAGTGTGAGTGTGAGAGAGTGTGAGTGTGAGAGAGTGTGAGTGTGAGAGTGAATGTGAGTGTGAGTATGTCAGTGTGAGCGTGAGCGTGCGGGAGTGAGTGTGAGCGTGAGTGCGGGGGTGTGTGCGAGTGCGAGTGTGAGCGTGCGGGTGCGGGTGTGAGCATGCGGGTGCGAGTGCGGGTGCGGGTGCGAGTGCGAGTGCGGGTGAGAGTGCGGGTGAGAGTGCGGGTGAGAGTGCGGGTGCGGGTGCGGGTGAGAGTGCGGGTGAGAGTGCGGAACATTCAGGCTGGCGCTGCTGAGACTGGGTCCACACACTGAAGCTGACAATGACCATCTCTAACCCGAACAGAATCCGTCCCCTTGACATTCAGGAGCGTTACCATCACTCAGCCCCGTCCCACGTCCCACCCCCCACCCCCACCACCCCACCCCCCACCCCCCACCCCCCCAAACACCCCCAACTATTAACGTCCTGGGGGGGGTTCCCATTGACCAGACACTGAACACGGACCGGCCCCCCATAAACACAGGGGCTACAGAAGCAGGTCAGAGGCTGGGAATCCTGCAGCAAGTCACTCCCCTTCTGTCTCCCCCCACCAACCAAAGCCCTGTCCCACCATCGACACGAGGCAGGAGGGTGATGGGATACTCCCCACTTGCCCCTGGATCGGGGGGCAGCTCCGAGACCCGCACCCCACCTCCCCAACCCACCCCTCTCCCCACCAAAGACAGTGGGTGTCGTGGGCACTCACCTCCCCGCTCTCCAGGTCCAACACATGCAGGTATCCCTCGCTGGTGCCCACCACTGCCAGCCGGCCAGAGGGAGAGAGACCCGCACAGAGTGGCACCGTTGGAGTGGTCATCACCTTACTGGAGGGGTGGGGGGGGGGGGGGGGGGGGGGGGGGGGGGGGGGGGG